CCGCAGTCCATGCTCTTTTGGTTTGGTTGCAGTTGACAGCCTGCGTGCCAGCCTGTCCGGTATCCCATCGTATGTAGCAGTTAAATAGGGCTGCCAAGCTATATCAACCGCAGAGGATTCTCTGTTAGGAGGAAGCAATGGTGGATTCGCAAGAAGACTGGGCTCAAAGTTTAAACTATGAGTTGCTTTGTGTCTCAGGTGTTCAGACCGTTGATGGCTTGTGGCTGGTCTATGAAATATGGTTGTTGAAGGGGGCGAAGGCGCGTGCGCAAGTTGAAAATAAGCGCTTGAAGGTTGTGATGGAGGCCGCTTGACGAGTTTGTTGGGTGCTCGGCGCTGACTGGAGGGGCGCGAATGGGTAGGGCTTGTGGGTCCGTTCGATGTTGGAGAGGTAGGACTTTGGCATGAGCTCCGGTTCCCTGGCTGAAACGACAGCCGTCGCACCCAAGAGGAAGACGGCCTTCGGGTATGCAAAGCCGTTGAGGAGTCTTCCTCGACTCGTAGTGGAGGGTTTGATAGAGTCTGACCACGACGCCGCAGTATAATCCCTGCAAGGGATGATTTTCTCCTATGGTTTGGACATTGGGAGTGGTTTCCTGCGGCAGAATCGCCCCCACCCGCATAGAAAGCCTTGAGCTGCGAGGCAGACCGTTTCTCTACTGTCGTTAATGGGGCGGAAGGGCCTGGTTGTACGTCGTCGTCTAGCGGCGATCGAGGAGGGTCTGTGTCGCGCGCGCGCTGATCATGCAGAGGGAAGGTCTTTTTTCGGAAGCGCGCCGGCTTGCGTGAACCTCGATCTACGCGACCGAGAGCAAAACCAGTTGCTGCAATACCAACAGTGCTGATTGCACAAAGCTGGGTGATAACGTATTAGCCAAGAGTATTCGCAAAATACGAAAGCTATGAGGGATTATCGGTGCAAGTGCTTCACAAAGAAAGCAGTTCAGGAGATAGGAGAGGTGTTCAAAGAAGCGAAGAAGAAAATTGAAAGAAGAGAGCTCACAGTTGATACATGCTCCATCCTTAAAGGCGCCGAGAATAGTGTCAAGCACCATGAAGCTCAAAGTGGCAACATCGATATTACATGTAATTCATGTCCCATCTGCATTATTATGCACGAGGATCAGCTGGCTTAGCAAATCTAGATTGGGAGCATTTCAGAAAATCGAGGTGGTTTGAAAATTCTAGCCAGACGTTGTAGATAGGATATTATCACCGGGTACGGTTGGAGGTGTTTTGGATGTCAAGCACAGTAAAGTCGATGTGCCTTTAGAGTGAGGGGAACGGCGCGTGGCTGTTGGGAGAAAGGAATGCGAGGACACCAATAAAGAATATAGTAAAGGAATGGGGAGTAAGAGAACATCAGAGCTGTGGTCAAATCTTTAGTAAAGTCGCAGTAAAAAAAGGAAACAATCACCCAAAGGCAGCTAGAAAGAGGAAGAAAAGTAGATGAGAAACAGCAAGGAATAATAATAATAATAAAATAAAAACAACAATAACAAGAGGCTATTGATCAACAAAGGCCTGAGGGGAGTGGGACACACGGTCGCTCTCTTTCCCACCCACGGGCGATGTTCTTCTGGTTCTAGTTTAAAGGAATGGATCACGCTAGGAGAGTGTCCACCCCCAGCACAACACCCACACCACCCGGCAAGGTAAATTCATTCAATATACCACCATAGGGAGAAATATCAATGAAGGGAGGAGATATATTTTCACTTTACAGGAACAACAATAGTTAGACGTACTATACAACTTTATGCCTTTTGATCTTAGGAAGAAGAGGAGAGAAAAAAAGGCCCTAGACAGGATATGAGTTTCTAAACCCGCCGAGTAGGTATCAATCTGTAGTTTCTTTTTTTTTATTCTCTTTCTCCCTCATACCAGAAATAAGGCATCACCCAAAGTTCAAAAACCAGCTGCTAGTCTAGCAAATTAATTACAGATATGAACATAAATGTCAAATCAAATAGTAGCACGCTGTAGTTATCAAATACCAAATTACTTGTTCTCCCCTCCCCCCTTCTTATGAAAGTTTCAATGACAATCAACAATACATAACTATACAATATCTCTGATGAGCTATAGTAATAGCCGCAGTGTTACTTAGACGGAACCTATTATTATCCTAAATAATTTAAGGATAAGAATAGTGTCTTGTGACTGCCCATCATTAGCTGCAGAGAGGGGGCAGACACCTAAGCAAACAAAGTTACAAATTCAAAATCTCAAAGAATAACAGGGATACACTAGATCCTTGGATCCCTGTTGGAGGGTTGAGTTAATGAAACCAGGGATTTTCAGCTTCTCCCCTGTTACTACTAGTAGTATTGTCATCATCCCTTACGGCTTGACTATTGGTCCAGAACATCTAACCTACTAAAGCTAGATAGGCGCATTGATAGATAGTTAACTGACTTACTAAATTAGACCTGCTACAAGGAGATAAGAATAGATCATTAGTATTGTGCTTGTCCATAGTTCCTAGTTGTGAGTACTGTGAATATACCAGCGTTGGCTAGAATGAAATCATACAGAATAGATAAAAGAGTATATGACCAGGGCAGTAACACTATACAGCGAGGTTCTCATCCCCACATCGAAGGTTAGTAATAAGGGTAGATTCGGAGCTCATTTCCTCCCTAGCTTGCCGAAAGCCAGTTCTTCTTAAAAAGTTAAGATGCCCTTTGACGAGATCGTACCTTAGATCGTAAGGCGGTGATCGAACGCTACGGACTACTTCGGTCGGAACCACTCGTTCAAACTGGGATACCCACCGGTTACCGATGTTTGGCTTTCAGGCATTACTGAAGGGAACCGCTCGGAGAAGACGGAATATTCTGGTCTACTAGATCCAGGAAAATTAATTCTCTCTCTCTTTTTTTCTCTGATTTTTTGTCCCCTTTAAAACAAATAACACTAATAAAAATCTTTCTTATTCTCCCCAAAGAATGGCTACAGAAAGGGAAAATGATCTCATACCCACCGCGTTTGTCACTTTTCGACTAATTTCTGTTGATTAGCCCTAGCGAAGATCGAGAAACGAACACCTATGGGAGAAGGTTCAACTAAAAGTGAACCTACTCCGTGTAAGTAGAAAGAGAGGCCATGACGGGGCTTTGTGCCTCTCAAGTGTCAAAATGCCGGGCCAACGGTACACTGGTAAGCTTATTTGGTAGGACCAGAAGCAGATCGGAATTGATAGATCTAATTTTCCAGGAAGGGAACGTGGCCTGCGAGTTTCTTGAATGGTAATAATTCCGACCTGAACTGTCGGTGGGCGAAGTGGGGCCCCCTAAGAAAAGTGTAATTAAATAAATCAAGACAAATTCATCTCGGCAAAAGAGAGAGAGCTGATAAATATATTTTTTACGGGATGATGAACATTGACTGTCACTATCGCCAGCATGATAATCCACTTACAACTTTCTTCCCCCCTTCCTTTTTTACCTTGTAGTCAAACATTAGTAATAAGCAGAAGTGCCTCCTACGGCTTTCCATAACCACCTGCACCCGTGACCTAAGGGGGCGGGGGCGGTTGAACCTAGTACCAGTATGTACTAGTAGTAATCCAAGGAAGAAGCGCCGCTCTGTCAATTTGATTGGACCAGCACTTATTTGCTGCCATGCATCAAGGACCCGTGTTTTTAGGTAGTGAACTACTACTCTGTACTTTGTACTGTATAGTAGTATTTATGATGTAACTCCTCCCTGGTGTTTTTCGCTCTTTATTGCTTGAATTCTCCATGTGTTTCAGTTTGATCCCTTGTTTAATCCCCTTGCTGCTGGTCTCTCCTCCGCCGTACCGTCGGATTCTTCCTGAAACTACCCAAGGCAGGTACACTTGTATCCCTTGCCTTAGGCCACTGCTAGACAGTGTACAAGTATATCCTCGTAGGGACCGCTTAATTGCCCAACGACCTTATAGATACATGCGCGTTATGCGGCTGATAACTTAGGATGATTACTAGTAGTCGAGAATTTGGCCATCATCGAATATCTAGGGATGCCTTTATTTCCCGTTCTGTCTCCCATCTCCCTTGCCAGGTTCACGCAATTTTCTGAGGCAATGCTGACCATTGGAGATTCAAACTCATGAATCCCTGCAATGCCCTATCAAATTTGCCCGACTCAACCGACATATCTAGTATAGACCGTACTGCTAACTACCCTCTGGAGAGCGATCAAGGGGGCTAAGACAAGGTGTTGGTATATAATAGTCGCCTTTCATTCAACTACCTACTGGATAGACTGATTAAGAATAGGAGACCTGCAATCCTGACCCCAGTTCTTTTTGGAATTTCCTGGGCTGCGTTACATACATGATGCCCTATGCTTTGTATACGCTGTCCCGCACAAGTTCGACGGTTGCCAGTTTCCAATTAGATTAACTCGTAGCATCAGAGACATCTGAATGGTTTATTACTGCAATCTGACTTGAATGCTATTCTTCATAATTATCTTTTCTCTTCTTCTTCTTCTTCTTCTTCTTCTTCTTCTTGAGTTATTTTTGGTAGATAGGCCAGTATCTTGGTGGAAGAAATGACCTCTTTTCTATAAGGCCCCATATATGATGTGAAAAGAATTATCATAGATGGCTAAGGGATTAAAGGGAGTAAAATCAAAACCTTCAGATGAAGCCTACTAGTACCAGTAGCATATGAGATACAGTATGTACGTAAACCCGACACTTGTTACAGGCATTTCCGCCCGGAGTGACCTCTATGAAGGTTGCAGAGCAAGCGGGAGCCTTCTGCGAAAGATCAACCAATCCAGAACGTCGTTGACTCCACTTCCGCCACTCCGCTAAAGCCAACTTTAGCCAGAGCCGAAAAAAAAGAAAGAAAGAAAGAAAGAAAGAGAAGACACTCTATGATATTCTATAAGGTCACATAATTGTTCAGTGTTGCATCTGAACTAGTGTTCTTTTTCCTACTCTATACTTTAGATCTCTTCCTCACCTTCCAGGAGCTTTGCTCTTCGATATTAGTGATACCAAGATGGAGGCAGAGCTCCAGTCGCAGATTCCAGGTCTCGACCATGTGATCTCAGAATACTCTGTGGTATTTATTCTAATCGAATTATGATACACGCTGGAGATGGTGGACTAATGAAGAATTATAGGGCTACCTGACACATGCTTCAAGGGCATATGTCGAGGACGCAAATGCCCCGTCACCATTGGCAGAAGCCGCTGACATGGTCACTGAACTTCTGGTTTCTGCATCCGGAGATTTCTCCGACAAAAATGAAAAAGCTATTCGGAACTTAGTGGAAAAGTTCATTTCTTCTTTGAGTTCTGCGGACGGTGTCGATGCGGAGCGGAGGCAAATGCCATTCACTGCTAAGAAGCTAGATCAGGCCATCAATGTTGGGTCCCAGAGAAACATGTCCTCGACTTTGGGACTTGCTGGTGGAAATGTCGACTTGGAATCTGCCAACAGCAGAAAAGTAGAGTCCCGCGTAGACCGCAAGAAGCTTGAAAAGGCAGAGCGAAAGATCCGTGCCAAGCAGGAGAAAAAGCAAATGAAGATGGTGCAATACGAATCGTCCCGTCTCCTCGACCAGCCAGATAGCACCATGTCTTATGAGGAGTTTTTCATGGCTGTTAACCCGCTCCAGCTGGGCTCAGATTCTGCAGCAAAGAGCAAGGACATTAAGATCGATAGCATTGACACCTCTGTTGGTGGTCATCGAATCTTGACCGACGCTTCACTTACCCTGGCGTACGGTCGACGGTACGGTCTTGTCGGTCAAAATGGTATAGGAAAGTCTACTCTTCTGCGGGCCTTGAGCCGTAGAGAAGTCGCAATCCCAAGCCATATATCGATTTTGCATGTTGAACAGGAAGTATGCATTCAACATCTTTTCTTTTTACTCATTCCCTCCCTTTATTATCATTCTTTGATTCGATTTGCTGTACCCTTCTGACGGTTTTAACTAGATCATGGGTGACGACACTCCTGCTCTGCAAGCGGTTCTGGACGCAGACGTATGGCGAAAGCGTCTTCTCGCAGACCAAGATGTCAGTATTGCTTGTCTTGACAACCTTTGTCTTCAACACGTCCGTCCCTCTAACCTACTCGCAGAGAATTACGAAACAATTGACTGCTCTAGAAGCGGAACGATCTTCGATGGCAGACACCTCTACAGATGCCGCCAGGCTTGACCACGAAAGGGAGGGTTTAGACATAACCTTAAGTGATATCCATTCCAAACTTTCAGAAATGGAATCGGACAAAGCCGAATCGCGAGCTGCTAGTATATTGGCTGGTCTTGGCTTTTCACCCGAAAGACAACAGTTTGCAACAAAAACCTTTTCTGGTGGTTGGAGAATGAGATTAGCTCTAGCGCGAGCTCTATTCTGCGAACCAGACTTGCTTCTTCTAGATGGTAAGCTCTTATTGTTACCCCACCCTTTGTGAAGGATTCGGAGTCTAACACGATACAGAGCCCTCCAACATGCTGGACGTTCCGTCCATTACATTCTTATCCAACTACCTCCAGGGATATCCTAGTACTGTTCTTGTGGTCTCGCACGACCGGGCTTTCTTAAATGAGGTTGCTACCGACATTGTACATCAACACTCCGAAAGGCTGGATTACTATAAGGGAGCCAACTTCGGTGGGTCTATTGGCAATATGGTCGCTTAAGTGACGTTAACTAATATACTGTAGACTCGTTCTATGCTACGAAGGAGGAACGGAAGAAGAATGCGAAGCGTGAATACGAAAAACAAATGGCAGAAAGAGCACATTTGCAAGGTTTGTGACTGACCCAATGGAGTATGTCCTGCCAAATAAAGCTGACTGTGATCTAGCATTCATCGATAAATTTAGATACAACGCGGCTAAGTCATCTGAGGCGCAATCTCGAATCAAGAAGCTCGAGAGGATGCCAGTCTTGGAAGCCCCAGAGAGCGATTACGTTGTGCATTTCAAATTTCCAGACGTCGAGAAGCTTTCTCCCCCCATTGTACAGATGTCCGAGATTGCCTTCGGTTATTCCAAGGATAAACCCCTTCTAAGAAATGTTGATCTCGATGTGCAACTTGACTCTCGGATAGGAATTGTTGGACCGAACGGTGCTGGTAAAACCACAGTTTTGAAGCTGCTAACTGGCCAGCTTGAGCCAACTTCTGGCCTTCTTTCGCAACATGCCCGCTTACGTATTGGATACTTTGCCCAACATCACGTTGATGCTCTGGACCTGACGACCAGTGCGGTAAGCTTCATGGCGAAGACCTATCCAGGAAAGACAGATGAGGAATACCGCAGGCATTTGGGAGCGTACGTTGAACCCTCTGTGTTGTGGTGCTTGATTACTAACGTGCGATTCCTGCCTTTATCAGATTTGGAATCACTGGAATGACTGGACTTCAAAAGATGGAGCTCCTGTCTGGAGGACAAAAATCTCGTGTCGCATTTGCTTGCTTGTCGTTGACAAACCCACACATTTTGGTCCTTGATGAACCTTCCAACCACTTGGATATTGAAGGTATGGATGCATTGTCTGAAGCATTGCAGAGGTTCGAAGGTGGTGTCGTGATGGTATCCCACGATGTGACAATGTTGCAGAATGTCTGTACTAGTCTTTGGGTCTGCGACAAGGGAACAGTAACCAAGTTCGATGGCACCGTCAACGCCTACAAGAAGATGATCAGTTCACAAGCCAATGAAGCAGGTGTAGCAGTTGCCCACTAGATAGGGTGCAATTGAAACCCAGCGGGCTGAAATCACAAGCTATACTATTGTGGAGTGAGCTTATATATTCCTTTGCTCTACTACACCTGCAGGTCTGTGAATCAATGAATCAACACCTACTAGTATCTGTTGTTACATAAGATGAATGGATGGTTGTGATGTGTATCCGCTTACAGCGGTTTGTGCTCCCTGCAAATCCTCAAGGGAACTCATTATTATGTTGAAGAACCATATGCAAGACCATCTTTGATTGTTTCATGCTTGTCTGGGCATATTTTATAGAAGAGCCATCGCATGACTTTTATCTGTAACTATTCAGAGAAATGATGAATAATATTACAATTGCGTGAGCGCGTGGCTACATTCAGGTAGTGGCTAAGCAAGATAACTAAGTAATAGCTAATCTCGTTTACGAGATATCTCCAGTCTTTCAGTATAGTTTGTCGGTTGATTCTCCATTATAGCCTTAACGACTAGTAGTCATGAGTCCTACAGTTTAGATGAATAGTAGCAGAGGGCTTCAAAGTCACGAGATGCTAAGCTAAACAGATTTTATCAGTTATGTTCCGCGACCTAGTATTATCGAGCTTTTGATGATGGATACCCGAAGTACCTCAACATGGTGTGTTTGCCTCGGGAATTAAGCCCTTGAGAGTGGGTCCCAGGAGGTGCCAAGCTAAACCTCTCCCGTAGCTCTGACGCTTCCATTTCCAACCACTCAGTCAATGTGTTTGCCTGGGATGGTACTAGTACCGGTGAATCTATTCAATACCAGGAGTATCTTCTTAAACATGGGCACTAGACATGAAAGCGATATATTGGACCCTAATGCTCCTCTACTTAGTTTAGCTAGACACACTACTCACGACCTCCCTGACAATGACGAGGATAGGTACATTGATAGGGAGTCAAATTACTCGGGCACTCGATTTATATGGGCATTGACATTCTCTGCTGGTCTAAGTGGGCTATTGTTTGGTTATGAGTACAGCGTGGCCACTTTCACTTCTCAAAAGGCAAATTACTCTGGTGCTACAATTCAATTACTGACAACTGTGATCGTGAAGCACAGGGGTGATTTCCTCAACGCTCGTATCAATCGACACGGATCTCTCCAACCGCGATCTTACAACACTAGACAAAAGCCTGATAACATCTTGCACAAGCTTGTTTGCTTTGGTTGCGAGTCCCCTTGCTGGGATTCTGGCCGACAGGCTCGGTCGCCGAAAGGTTATATTCGTTGCAGATGTGCTGTTCGCTCTAGGAGCCTTTGTGCAAGCGACCTCCAATGAAGTATGGAGTATGATTGCTGGTAGAAGTATTGTTGGATTAGCTGTCGGCGGCGCGAGCTTGGTCACTCCAATGTAGGTCAACATCTTGTAAACAATAACCCTAGCTGAAGTCGTCCGAGAATACGCAAGCTGCTTGCTTAGAAATATTTATAGTTACTAGCTGATTGTTTCATCAGATACATCTCCGAATTGGCACCATCCAATATGAGGGGCAGACTGGTGACGATTCTCTCCTTGTTCATCACCGGTGGCCAAGTTGTAGCATACATCGTGGGTTGGCTCTTTTCCTCGATTGATGGAGGATGGCGCTGGATTGTCGGCCTTGGAATACTTCCCGCACTTTTCCAGCTTGTTATCCTCACCGCTCTACCTGAAACGCCCCGATGGCTGGCACAAGCAGGATTCGAAACAACTGCTATAGTGGTGCTGGAGAAGATCTACCAGGGCCACCCAGACAGTAAGTACGTCGCTAAACAAATATTACGGGAAATACAGCAGGAGGTAGCAGAAGAATGGTTGGGCTATCGTGATAGTTCTTCTGAGGCCGGCAAAAAGGGGATTCACTACATCTCGCAGCGCATCAAAGACCTCTTCTACATTGGTGGCAATAGAAGAGCTTTGATAATAGCAATGATGCTGCAAGGTTCGCAGCAGCTCTGCGGTTTCAACAGCCTTATGTACTTCTCCGGCCTCATATTTTCATTTCTCTCCTTTTCGTCGCCGACACTCACGTCGCTGTCAGTGGCCACGACTAACTTTCTTTTTACATTGCTTGCATTTATCTACATCGATAGAATCGGCCGACGCCGAATCCTCCTTTATTCCATACCTATCATGACACTATCTCTCATCGTTTGCGCAATAGCATTCTCTTTGGTATCATCAAATTTGTCCTCTTATCCACAGACCAGTGCAGGGTCCAGCGACACCGTGACGGGTGATCTAACGCTCCCTATCGTTATTCTTTTGTGTCTAACTGTTTACACCGCTTCTTACGCCTTCGGGCTTGGCAATGTACCCTGGCAGCAGTCCGAGCTGTTTCCTTTAAGTGTACGGTCTCTCGGGTCTGCACTCGCTACAGCAACGAACTGGGCCTCAAACTTCATTGTCGGGCTTACTTTTCTACCCATGATGGAACTGTTGTCCCCAGGGTGGACCTTTGGGACATATGCCGTCGTCTGTGCAGTTAGCTGGTTTGGTGTGTGGTCGATCTATCCTGAAATGAGTGGACTCGGTTTAGAAGAGGTTAAGGAACTTCTCGCAGATAGCTGGGGTGTCAAGGAAAGTCTGGGGAGGACCCGCAACAGCTCCTAAGAAAAAAAACAAAAATTTTTTGAAAAAAACAGAAACAGAAAGAAAGAGAAAAATCCTACACATATATATGTTTTCATTGACGGGTAGAGATAGGAGAAGCAACCAAAGATATAGGAGGATTCTCAGACTAAGGCGCAACCCGAACTCGCTCTACCGATATACCCAACCACAACAATTTAGGGAGCTATCACGGTTACACTCATAGAGTTTGTCGCCAAGTCTTTCACCCATTCTGGTGGTCCTCTAGAATGACAGTTTGTACCGAAGAGATCTACTGTCGACCAAAAGACTTTGAGCCAGAAAGCTAGGTGCCTCCAGGGTCTACGGCTTCATTACCACTCCAAAGGAGGTGCATGACTTAGATGAACAGCTCTATGGATATAGATGGCCTTGGCGGGGTCTTGTACCTTCCTCTTGAACAATGAAATTAGTCCGCATTGGTGCGGATACCCTCTCACATGAAGCGATTCAACATGTAACGCATAAAGCCAAAAAAGTTTATCTCGAAAGGAAATGTTGGATAAATTAGCACATCATTCCAGACAAGCCTACATAGCAGCTTGGTTAGGGTCACATTTTGGTTGCTACGTAGAGGGGAGAGGTGTTACACGGATAGAGGAAATAGCAGCTACCGGTGATAACAGGTTGCACTTTTCACCCTCCTTGGGTGACCAGTGAAAGTAGTAGAGAGCCATATAACTACTGCGCAAGACACTGTTGAGATTGATATTGAACATTTCAAATTCAGTTCCCGAGTCCCTCTTTGATATATTGGGCGTAGATGCTGAATATATCAGCTACGCCTGCATTAGTAGATTCGGATTGAAAACGACTAGTTTTCGATGTCATTAAAATTTGTGACATTATTCGTTTGTCTCCAGAAAACGAACATTCTACTCCTGGAACTCATTCCATCCACCGCGAGGCTGATGCCGCTGGCTATGTTTGAGCGCGTCAATAGTAAACCGCCAATTCACACCGGGACTGTGGCTAGCACTTACTTTCTCCTGTGTGTTGGCCATCATGGGAGAAGTTGTTCCCGAAACCGTCGATACAGTATGGACAAAAATGAAATATTCCAAAGTCGCCCCCGGAATAACTGTGACGCAAGTTTAAGAGGTAGATGAAAGGGCAGCTCTCATGAGCATCAGTGTGATTTGCATGGGTAAGCGGCGTTGATATATGATGTAGATAATGATAGGTTTACTTGGTTAATCTGCGAAGCGGGCACTTTCTCAGAATAATAATGATAATGATAATGATAATAATAATAATAATAACAAAATAAATTATGCATCCTGGAAGAAAGGCCATGACATGTGCAGTGCAGTGGAATGAACATAGGGCCCACCAAGAGATAGAACGCCCAGAGCCTCATTGCGAGTCATGATTATCAAAGTAAGCGTAATTATCAGCCACATGTTGTAAAACATCTGGAACAAGGCTCAAAGATATAGATATACCAGGAAGCTTGAAATGCCCTTAGAATTGTGTAAGTTTCGTATAAGGTAATAGTCAGACTATATACTGAGTAATGAGACCCTAGACAACCAGTACTTCCTGAGCACAATAGAGTCTGGTCATGGACGCTCCCGAGAATGAGACCAAACTATGCAGAAAGACTATTGCCTCGGATAGTGTCATCTAATGGTGCTCATAGTGCTGTGACCATCGGAGATAGGGGTTGATTTGGTCTTAGAGAAGTTCTGGTCAGGATCCCATCAAAACTGAGTTGTGAGGGTAGATAGATAGATATTGTCAATTGGGTCTCAGTGTGGAAACTATTTGCCTTTTGCATCAGCGCCGTTGCGATCAGCTAGATTGTCTTCGGCTTTTTGAACAACATTGTGCCGTTTTATGCCGGTCGTCTTCTTGCTAAATCCAACAAACTCAGACTCCGGCGAATAACAAGGGGCTGTTCTCGATGTGAATATCGTTAACTACCGACATACTTCGCGAAGCTAATATTGTTGCCTAATGCCATTTGCTAGTCACAGAACGCCTAGAATCCAGAACGACGGGTACTGTACAAAAGTTTTGAACTACACCCAGTCGAGTGATAGCAAAGAAAATAGCAACACCAAGGTCTGAGAAGACAAACCAACGTGCAATGATGGAGCGACTGGCCCTCCAAGCGTCTATCCGAAGTCGATCCGCCAACCTGTTCCAGCAACTTCCAGCTGAGGTACGCTCTCTGAATTATTCTGCGTTACCAAGCCAGCTGCTAAATTCATGCCTCAGGTAGTGCTATACATAGCTTGTCTACTGCCACGTGATGCTGATGTTGCACATCTCTCTTCATGCTGTGGCTTTATAGCTCAGAAACTCTTACCTGGGGAATTGTCTGTCTGGCAATACTGTTTCATGAACCTGTACGTATTATAGTAGAAGACATTGAGAGGAGGAATGTCAACACAGGTCAGCTTTCGGTTCTGTAAAATCAGACCAGACCTGAATACCTTGAACTGGCCACCTGAGTTCAACGAGATAATCCAGATGGTTAGGCCAGAGTCTCCCCGCTTATACTTCCGTGGTTTTCAAAGACTTGGCGACGATCCATATCCAGCGCGCGGCTTTATTGAGCCCATTCGAGTATCGCAAGGCGGCTTTCCTGGTTGGTAACGTATATGCTTTGCAATATACGTCGCAGACCGTGAGCAACTCCCGCTACTTCTTGAGATTAGCGAACCGTAGCCAACTGACGACAACGCAGCATGTTTACTAAGCGAGCTGTGGTCACCAGGTGAGATGGAAACTGATTTTCTTTGGATTCAAGGTTATTAGGGGGGATCCTTCCCCGGGATAAGATCATGTCGGGACGATGGGTTGATATGATTGACACAGAAACAGGGCCGTTTGTTTTTAGGACTTTGTGATCACACACACACACACACATCTTGTTAAGTCTCTTGGGAATCACCTAAGCAAGTCTAATATGTCCATCATAGCACGATATGAATTAAAATAATTGGGGAGGTCCTTATTATAAAACAAAAGTGAGGGGGAAGAGGAAGGAGATACTAGAAATCTACTCCTCAATATCCTTCACCTTCTCCCATTGACCCTTGAGATTTTCCTTCCACAAACTAACCTTGTTATCTCCTCCACTCACAGCGAGGATGTTTCCGCTAGGGCTCCAGCTGACCCTCCAGAGCACGGTATCAAATTCGAGCTGCTGGCTGACCCACTGACCAGGATTCGACGCATCCGAGGTCCAGATACGAATAGTTTTGTCTTGTGAGGCAGACGCGATGTAGGTCTTAGAAAGTATGCTCGGTGACCAGGCAACGTCTCGGACCCAGTCGGAGTGGCCTTCCAATGTCTGAGCGAGATTATAGGATCTAGTTTCCGGGCTGCATAGTTATACAGCGTGATTAGTATATTTCCATTCAGGTAGTTATGCGAAATTTGTTATTTGCACGCACTTGTAATCCCAAATCTTGAGCAAATTATCGCTTCCACCGGTGACGAATCTCCGCTGCTGACCCGGTCCAGGGTTGGCACTGATCAAGCTGCCGGGAGATGCTGCAGGGGCCCAGCTAATAGAGTTTACTCCCATTCCATGGGCATGAAAGATCTGATGGGTCCAGCTATTATCCTGGAACTCAAGTACACTAACATGGCCGTCGGAAGAAGCGCAAGCAAGAAGACATCCACTCTCGTGCGGAGCCCAGGAGACCATGTTCACCGAGGCTGTGTGGAGGGAGAAATCAAAGACCTTTGTCCAGGAATTTACAGCGACAGGGGATGTTGTGTTCTGATGTTGTTCGCGCCAGATGAGGACCTTTCCATCATAAGACGAGGAAGCCAGAATTGTGCCAAATTTAGGGTGTGCCTATGGTCAGAGGAAAGAGATTTGTCAATTCAGGGGCTCAGTTACGATGAATGTAAATCGATATGAGATACTTGGGGAGGTTGGTACACACCCATGCGATACACCAAACTGCACCTTCGTGTCTATTATGTTCGTATTTTCTCATGTCAGTAATCGCGCATTTAATCACAAAGAGGATGTTTCTCACCCTTTTAGAGTCTCCACCAGGCGATGCGTCTCGCCTTCGATCTCGAATATCTTTATTGTCTTATCCGACGAGCAAGTCGCTAATCTGCGGCCATAGTAGTCCAGGCCAGCGTCATGCTGCGTGTCATAGGTGGGTCAGCTCGGGGAATGCATAGCGCTGAATTCAGATAAGTTCTGTCCTTAGCACGTACAATCATGTCATCGTGTCCAGAATTGGAGATAATCTGAGCAGCCGCCTAGAATTCCAGGTCGAACGTCAATGTTTGGAAACAACAGAATCTGGATGGACTGAAAGGGAGGGGGGAACGCACCATGTTGTCCGATTTAATCCCCTTAGCAAATCTTAGGGAACTATATTTGTAGAATATGGTTTGTTGGATCTTTGAGCGCTGCTGATTATAAGTTTTGAGTAAGAGGGCGGTGGTGGAGTGTCGAATCAACACGCAAGCAAATGGGCACTGCAGCAAGTCACCGCCAGCTTGTCCGTTTCGCGGTGGAAGGAGCCGCAGCCAGATCTTATCTTATCGCTTCAGTCAAATACATTATATACGTACATACAGTGGGATGTCAAAAGTATCCGCTTGACCGCCTAACATACCGCTATATTTCAACACATCAAATTCAGTGCTTGAGCCTACACACCTCTATCTACACATTAAATTATAGCTTCTAGAGAGGATATAGATATAAGTTATTGAGTTAGATAGCTGCTATAGTAATTATTAAGACCCAGGAAAGGAGTTTGCGAGATTTCTGCCATGCAGAATAGTAAAATTAGGAAAGCGGTTAAACTGGGCAATAAATGGATGGTTTCAAACTTTTGACATCCCATTGTACAGTACTCCGTACTCCGTACACCCCTTGGCACGTGAGACCGGCCTCGGCTCTGCTCGGCTGGCTACCCCACGCCTTCTGGATGTACTACTTACATGTCGACTTCCTTCTTTCCAGTCTTGTAATCAACCTCCCCTTCCAAAGAGGACTCTCATTATATTATCTCCAAATTCACACCTATATTAATCTTCGTTGATTGCGCTAAGTTGTCTATTGAGCCTCATCTTTATCGAAGATCTTCTGGCGCCCAGCTTGTGCTATCTCGACATCATGAGTGATGCTCTCTGTGGCCCGTCCAATGCTCTTCAAAACTTCCAGAAGCATGCCTCTGTTGATCGGACACTGCAACAGGACAAATTAGTTTCGCGGCAATCGCATTCTCAGGTAAGTTCTAAGTCTCTACATCCGTGTGGATCATACATATCTTCAACAATACTAAGATCTGGTTTGTGCTGTAGGGTTTTCGGTCACAAAATCCCAACGAAGGTATACTGGATCCCGAATTCACTGCGTTCGAATCCAATATAACAGGAGCACCACTGCCCGATTTACAACATCCAGCCCACTTCGCTACGCCTCCTCATTTCGCGGTACATAAGCAAGTGGAGAAACTCAATTGGGCAGCAGATTTTGAGAGGCTACAGATTTCCGGCTCTTCGCCTCTAGCCCATCAACAAGGGGGCCCCGCCTCAGTATCAGCACCGAACCTTGCACAGCATGGCTGGCGAAATGATTTTCTTGCCCAACAGCGGCAACCTAGCCCTGCTCAGCAACACCAACCTTTCGCTCAAGGGTTCCAACCTTTCTTTACGCCTAGCTACCCTATACACGAGGCTGCAGTGAATGCTTTACCATCAGCACAAGATCTAATAGCTAGCCAGCTACCATCCACTGAAGCCTTCGATGAGTCTGCCTTTGAAGCTGCATTTGAACAAGCCAAGGCGGATTTAGCGTCACAGACGGCTGATCACGCACAAGAGCTTACCAATGAGACTACTAATCCGGATGCAACTGCTACTCCTCAAGTTGAAGCCATCAGGATTGGTTCAGACACCATACCCCAGACTGAAAAGGATGACGCTAGAGCACATTACAATGACTCAGACGAGCTTGCTCGAACAGCGGGACAATTACTGGATCATGTCAGCCACGATCAGAGCCAGAAATTTCGGGAGAGCAACTTTCTTGCTTTGATGCGCCGTATCCGAGACCGTGAGGTTCATATCGAAGGAGATGAGTTCCGTGAAGTCAGTACCAGTCCGTGATCTCTAGAGTTTCGGCTGGCGTGGCACAAGCGCTGGTATATTTTATTCTATATATGCCGGCCTTTGTTCCTGCTAATAAGATCCCAGAATTTGCAGCCTCTACATCCTGGTGGCAAGTATTATCCTGAAGGGAAAACACGTATGCAGCAGGGGCGAAGCCCGTACATGGTGGCAAAGAATCACGACAATAGCAGTAAGTAGTAAAATGAGCACAAGTCATCCACCAGTCTGTTTGCAGCTTAGAGCCGACATCTGAGACACGGTACCTGACTAAATGGGTATGTACTACTTAGGTTCTCTTCATGGAAAGCCCATTCAGCCGGATACCGTACTACCTGCTCCTGGAGGGAATGGAACACCCAAGCACACATCTCAAGCAAGCACAATCAACAACCTAGGCACAGAGCATGATAACCAATCTCTTCACGAAAGCTGGATGTTCGGTGATCGCTGGGCTTAATTTATTGCCCAGCCTTATTGTCCTTGTTCTTATTTTTTTGAAGGTATACCGGCGGGAGAAAAAGTTTGTTTGTGGAATATACATAGCATAGAACAGGGGGAGGGTGGCGGTGGCCTTTTGGTTACATACTCTGTAGCATAGGCTCCCACGTTCCTCAGGTTTTCTTTTACTGTTCCTTTCATTGCCCCTGATTTTCTATATCTTGTGGTTGCTGGGGTTCCCACGAGAGCACTGACACATCAATGAAGGTTGTATGTACGGCACCACACCAGATCACTGGTGACCAGGTATCCATGTGATCCTATTCTCCTATTGATGATCGAGAGCAATACCAACCCTGCCGCGGTCCAATAAGAAGGCCGGGGCCACGGTTGCAGCTTCACGGTAGTGATTGCATCCCCTTGGCGGTAATGGTGTGCTTGGCTTGATAGGCTCTCTGCCCCAGTTGCGGGGGCTAGCTGGGATACAGTCCTGCCCTATCAGCGTTGTGTTGTTGGTCTATTGATGCATCATTCATTGTTATCAAGGGAACATGGTGTGTAACGTTATATACAAATACTATGGTCATGGGCAAGTTGGCTGCATATTCTTGTTTTTCACTCATATCGCATAGCATCTCAGCATCTGTTTCCTCTGCTGTCCTTTTCCTTCTCGATATATATCGTGCCTGTTGTTCCAGGGCCTTATGGATTTGCTATTCTTTCTATCCGTGCTTTATGGGAAATTTCCTGCTAATTGCTATACGACACACTCATCTGTTTTTGGGATCATCCATCCGTATTCCGGACAACTACCACATTTAACGCAAAATGCTTCCTACCTCCGACCCCTTGTTCCACCAACTACAGAAACTTGCAGAACCAAGAGCAGCTGCTCAAAATCAAACGAGGGTGTCGCCCCCATCTCCATATACAAGGATTAATACCCCAGATTTCGTTCGCGCCGAAAACGAGATGAGCCGGAAGATGCTGATGATAACGATGAATGCATGTCCTGGGAGTCTGGCCCTAGAAATGGCAGCCGTGACCACCACGCCCTCGTTACCATCCATGTCAACGCATCGATCAACGTGCGAGGGAAGGCAACCCCGTAATCATACCATCTGTGGCAGGTCCATGGCAAGACAGCAACCCTACGACACCTTCCTCGCTACCAAGTTCTATGACAACGATGATGATGCTGTACCCAGCACAGCGACATCACTAGACCAAGTTAACAAACATGGTGACGTGTATTATTATTGCCCTTAGCAGGGCCAGCCTGCTTCATCCGTGGAAATCAATATTAACTCAGGAATAAAGATCGAAGGAAGCCGAAATGTCATCTGCAGGGTAACAACATCTCCTCAGGCCGCTCTCTCGCGAAACGATACTATGTCCAGATTGGTGGGGTGGGGAGCTTACATGAGGTGGACAGAAAGAGACGCACTGACTCGGTATGTCCTTCCTCACTAGTAAAGAATCTTCACCATGGGCCGTTTATACGTTGATAGGCGCAGGGTGTTGCTGACCCTTTACACACCGGAGCCACCAGAAATGCTCCACGCAACAAGATTTTGATACCTCATGCAGATGTGTTGTTACCTGACTTTTGGAATACCGAAACTATCGCTGGTTTTTGGACTAGCTCGCATCAAGAACAACCTAGCAGGTATCTACAAATAATAGTGTAATTCATATCAACATAGAAGAGAGCAGAGTCGTTCTATAGAATTGGCGGATTTGTCAGGTACCTTATTGAAACCTCTTATTGTAATACTGCCTGTGCCTTCCAAGTAAGCTAGCCTACGAGTAACAAAGAGTGATCAGATAAGACAAGAGCCACGGGACGCAAATAAAGGGAACGGAAAGCTGGGCTTCACAGACGACATAAGTCGTCCATCATATAGAGGAGAAAAAGAAAGGAAAAACGGGCCACTCAGTAACTGATCATCGCTTTTCCAAACCATGTCCTATGGGCATCGAATAAAGATCCTATTGGAGATAATAGAACTACCGACTAGTAAACAATCCTTGAGGACTCCATCTATTTGTTTTACTAAGAGTCAAGTCTAGTGAACTGTCTCCGGGTGGTTAACTTGCACTACCGTAGTAATCGGTATTTTAGCCTGTACACCACTCAGTTTTAAGACCTCATCCGCCCTACATGCGCACCAAGTTTGATAATTGCGAGTAGTCTCTGCCTAGGTATCCTTACTTTCGTAAAACAATAATCGTAGGGTCAAAGGCGTCCGGGAAGATAATGTAAATATGCTGGAGCTGAACCCACTACACTTGCCTCTTCTTGAGCCACAGTACGTTCAATGTTCTAAGTCTTGAATTTTGCTCTTTCCCGCCCTTTGCCATATGCTGTTTAAATTTCAAGAAAGGAGAAAAGGAAAACAAACCCATGGTAGAAGAAAAAATAAATAGAGCCGCCGACTAGTCATAGTAGCCAGTATACCTATCGGTAATACAACAGTCCGGAACAAAAATTCTGGAAAGAGGATAAAGAAGAGTAAGATTGAAGGAGATTGAAAGGGGCACTGAATGAAATAAAATAAAATCTTTCTCCAATCAGCAAGGTGCGCAGGAAAACTGCAACAACAAAAAAAGAAAAGAAAGAAAAGAAAAAGAGAGAAAAGGAATTGCAGAGGGTAATAAGTAAAAGATAATAATAATAGTGATAAAAAGAAAAAAAGACATGAATCACATCAAAGACGCCGAATCCTAACTGTGAAGGGTTCATTAAAGATATCATGGCCAAAGTTTTGAAAAAGTACAGGGACTATGTTCCAATCCTGAAGTGATGTAGGATGCAGTCTTTAGTTCCACTAAATGTGATTATGGTGTTGCGCTCGTAACTGATCCTATTGACCGGTCAATGTCAGCTACGCTCAACCTATATATTCCTGGTCCTTTGATTCAAGACTAGGAACTACCGTCTTACCGAAACCATAAGAATAGACTGGCGGTGAAAGCCAAGCCAAGTATGTCAATCGGTTGGGACTATGCTCGGCCAATCGGTATATCATGACGGTGTAGATCTCTGGACCATTCTGGTGCAACTTTATCACGTTCGTATAGGAGACCACAATTATGGCAAAGTGTCTGGAGTACAGTGAGTCAGTGAACTGAGCATAGTGCAGACTTTACAGTTGTATTGCTCCTACCCTTGGACCGGCAGGGCCATCCCGAACAGCCCAAACAGCGGTGCCCCATACCATGCAGTTACTGCATCGCCAATTTTGCCGTTCCCTGTTGGAAGAAAAGAAAAGTCAGTCACGGAAGGTCAAGAACAGTAGCAGAGCGAGAGGACAAACCAATCGGATAATGTACCGCCGCCACCGCCATACCCAGCGCCTGAAGAGGTGTCTGGAGTTCCACGTCCACCAGGTGTACCTCCTCTTCCCAATGGGCTCAGGCTGCGGAAACGCCTTTTTCGTTTGCTCCTTTCACCCCTACCTAGAGGGGTCTCACTGTCAACGTCAAAATAGCCTCCGCTACCTTGTCGAGAAACGTCTGGAGTTATGCCTGCAGTAGAAGAGAACCTAGCAGTTTCTCGTCGTAGACGCCGGATCTGCCGTTCACGATCGCCTTCCCGCTTCTCAATTTCTTCCTTTGACAACGTCTCCACCTTGGGTTCCCATTCATCGCCGAGTCCCTCCGGGTCATAACGCCAGCCAGCCTCAGTGCCATTGGCCGCCTGGTTGTCTATCTCATTCCCATAGCCGCCAATTCCACTAACTAACCCGCCGCTTTCACAAACTTCTTTCTTCAACTTTAGAACAGCTTCATAAATACCATGCGCAATAGCTCCGACCCATTCTCCACCAAGACCCAGATCGGCACAAGTGATTTTTGCGAATTCCTCTGCCATGCCGGGAGGATGTAGCAGAGACCACTCGAACTTGTCAGTGTATAGCTTATTTTGCAGGTTAATGTTGAGATTAATCATGCATCGGTATGCATCATCTGGATTCAAGAAACTGTCGTTAACAAACGGTTCTTTGATTACAGTCACTGTGTTGGATCTGCTATCAGGCGTGGCGGCAGGAGCGGGAGTTGCGGATACATCGCGCGATACACCAGCTTGGCTGGCAGAAGGCGGCTTTGGCACTGTACTTTGAAATAGCGGATGTAGTGCAACACCAGCATATTCCTCTAATTGTTGACGAATTTGATTGCTGATTGCCATTGTCATGGCCTGTGGATTGGGTAGGTCTAAGTCACGAACAAAGCCGGTAGCGAATTCTTCAGGAGTTGCCAGCGCTTCGTGAAGGTTCCAAAGGAATGTATCCTTGATCCTGTACGCAGGCAAAGGCTCGGGTCTTCTATAGCCGGGGAGGGTAGGGTTAATACCGGGATCCAGAACAGTTCGTGGCAATTGAAAGGGTTCTAGAGGTTGATGCGCTGGAACTTCTAAATCAATGCGAATGGGTATTAGGGTGAGGGGGAGCTGCGCCTGAATCTGCAGTTGGTCGGCGCAGCTATATAACAGCAAAAACTTAGTTAGCATCCTCCGCAATAGCTTCAGGTGATAGAGCAAGGGAGTGGTGATTAGCAAAGCATACACAGGCCTCAGCATCCTCTTGATCATCCAATCCCGAAATACCCCTTGAACCTCAACAGGAGCATGGACTTCTTTTCCCAACTTTTCCGCCAAAGGAACCTTGTCAATAGTCGACTCTTCCCGTCGAAGGCTCCTCAAGCCAGTGGGCCGTCGGGGACCTTCACTGTCCTCAAAGTCATCGTCGTCAAACCCATCTTCAGCGTAGTTTATTGCTGCTGTTCCTCTCTTTGTCATTCGAGGTGTCGGGCCGGTTTGGCTTGGAGGAATGACCGGTGTGAGAAGCGCGTTTCCATATTGGCGGACTCGCGGAGAATAAGAAGTAATATAGCCTCTGAGGGGGGACATGTTGGCCAGTTATGTGGACAAGAACATGTCCCTTCTTGATCTGCCAGGGCGCTCCGATTCGCGAACAAGCAATTCTTATCTTGAATGCGGTCAACGAAAGGGTGGAGGAGAATATGTATGTGCAAGTTGCAAGTGAATTGGCGAGTCGCTTCCACTTGAAAATGCGATCAATAAGTCTGACAATGCGATATGGTCGGCCTGCGTCAGCGACTTGCACAGGTTGGTCTTTAGTACAAGCCAAAGCTCCTCTGACAGTGATCGCGGTCGAGCTCCGCCTGTTCTGCATTGTCGCGTTTTCCACCGGAATACTCCCGCTAATCCTGTTTCGGAATTAGAGTCACGTGTATGTGATGAACTATTGCGTGTACTCTAGAGTATCTATGGATCAGTGAGATCGATTCAAAATTTACCAGATTTTTGTTCTTTTATTTTTCTTTGTCTTCTTCTAGCAGGGGCAAAAATGGAGGAAGAGGAGAAGAAGAAGAAGAGAGAGGTGAATCAGGTCCTAAGATTGTACTGTAGATGCCTAAGACTTCCTCAATCAAAGAATGTTATCACTAGTTAAACAAGAAAAAAAGATGTTGAGAATATAAATGTCAACTATAGACAGCAAGTAGGTAGTAAAAGAAAAAGAAAAAGAAAAAGAGGGGTTATATCAATGCATGGGGTCCGGCTAGCTAGTAGAAACAATAAACAGAATGACAAGTACCCTCAATCTTTAATTGAATACGCCATTCCCCTGGCCTGCAACGGCAGACGCGGAAGTAGGTAGGGGTATCATGAACTCCTCCAAAGATGGGCTTGAAAAAGAAAAAAAGAGTTGCGAGAAACAATAAAGAAAGCCATTGCTTCTAGCAGGCAAGACAATGCACGAGAAGGATGCGAAGCTTGGAGAATTAGTGGGAATTGATTTATCGAAGCCCAATTACACTCTGCAGTCATGTTAGGTTGAGCCATCAGATCAGTGGCAGGGTTCACAAGTCTTACCATTTCTAACGTCCATACTCTCCGAATCCAGATTTTCACCTTACCTTGAACGCCTTCGATATTCTCCAACTCAACACCCTCCCACCAGCATCTTCTAGCAGGTTTTCTCCAAAATAAGAGGAGTTTTTGGGCCATGCCAACTGCGTTGTTATTGGGGATGTCACCCCTGATATCAGTACGGAGTTTGGCCAACGCGAGGCTACAGATAACTGCCTTGTTGGGCTCTGGGGCACGGTGACCCCACCGGTCATCACGATCAAAGCCGCTATAATTATCTTAGTATTTAAGGTTATAAAGAGAGCTGGACGCTCAAAGATATAAAGCTTACCCTGCAGTCAGCATCTCGATCAGATGCTGCTCTGTTGAACCGGCCTCATCGCTCTTCCTTAATCCAGAGAAGATCCCATCTTGTTTCAGTAGTGCTCTTGCAGCTGCACGCTTGACCTCAATCATTTCCGCGTGATCGATGTCCGGCTGTGGAGGAATTGCATAAAAATCAAGGTCTTCCCGCAGCACGATGATCCCTGCCCGGTCCTGGAGCATGTCCCTGGTCGATCCTTGCATGGAATCGGGGGATATGTCTAGGTCTTGCGATGTCGAGGCTGCAGGAGACGACGGGATGGATTGAGCGACGGAGCGGAAGAAGTCAAGCATGTACTGGAGAGACACCGGATCATACTAACGTGTATATGTTAAGAAGAGTACATCAATTGAGAGAATGAACTTATGTGAGAAGCGATAGAGCGTTTTTGCCTTACTTACATCGACGGGGTAAATATCACCTTCGTGAAAGGTGCCCATGTGTCCATCTGGAAGCAAACCATTCGGAAACAGCGATAAAAGGACAAACTCCGGCAGTGTCAACAGTTCGTCCCGAGAGAGTGTGAACCTGGTTCCTCTGCAAGCCATATTAGAAATAAACGGCCAGTAATTTAAGGTTCGCGAATTCTCACCTGAGGTCCAGAGTTATATGTTCATCGCCGCCGATGTCTAGATTTTTGAATAGGTGAGTTATTGGCTCGAACAGATGATCATAAGTGCCGATCAAGTGTCATACCTCCTAGAGTGTTTATCGGTGGTCCACCTGCCTGTTGTACTTGAGTGATAATACTCGACGCGCCTCCTGCCGTAGCCATAACGTAGGTGAATGAGTTTATCGGACTCGAACCTTCGGTATACGGGGGAGGAGGTTCTCCCTCTTCCGCTGACCTTCCCGGAGAATAATCTTTGGGATCCCTGGAAAAGGTATCTTTGGACTCCGCGATCACGGATGATGAGGAATATGAATTCAGTGGTTCTTCTTCGGAGGACGGAGATGTAAACGGCGAGACGAAAGCTGGCTCGGATTCGGGACCTGTAACTTTGGCACGATCGGGATCAGCTCCAGGATGGCACACAAGAGACAAGAATGGTGGAGGATATGCTGAGATAAAGCTAGATGAGGAAGCCTGCGAGGACGGGAAATGCGGCGGCGGCGCAGTATAGAAGTCGTCGTCTTCCTCCACTGTAGAATCCGGGAGATGATGCGGCCGCGCCGTGGTAGGCGAGCCAGGAGAACCCGATTGCCACGGCAAGGTGTCGGGATTCGTTTCGAAATAACAGGGACGGGTTTTGTACTTGTGTGGCTGTTACGGATTGTGAGGAGCTACTTGTGAGGGGCTCCCCTTTGATCGAAGAGGGTCAGACTCCCGTTTCTCACGCCGATCAGGAGTGGTGTGTGTCTAGAGCTGTCGGTAAAACATAGAGACGCGGTGGGTATTCGTGAAAGACTGACTTTTATGCTCGAGCTATCTTTAAGGGGGAGGAAAAACGAGAAATTGATGAATGATGGGCAGTACAAAATAACAGGAAGCTGCAACTGTGAATGAGGTAAAGACAATGGGAGAAGTGTGGGAGGGAAGCGCTTAGAGGTGATGGTGGAAACATTTGGCTGAAGTTGGCTTACAGAGCACCTGGGGCTACTACGCTACTTCCGCCACAATCACTTGGTTTACACAACGAACATTGGTGAACAGCCATTTATAGCAATGAATTTCTCAAACCTTCACTAGGCATACTTTCATGATCTGTTGTATACATGGATTAACATCCGGTCACATGACTACACCTCCAGCAACAAAATGCCCACGCTTCCAATATCAGACAGGACGGTTAGTTTTATGAAGTTCCTCGAATTTATGGGGAACACTATAAACGGGGTATCTCGCATCCAGATATAGTTGACTACATCACCAACGCATGCAAATCTATCTATGAATCTAGACATTGCGTTCAACAAAGCTCTGGATCATTCCCTCAAGCGTCGGTTCATACTCTTTAAGGGTCACTTCGTCCCCATGTAGGATGGTGTTGCCCTGGACAAACACTTTACGCGGGACCTTGTTCTGAAGAACAACCTCACGAACTTTGGTCCCCCACCACTCATCAACCGACGTGATATCATCATAGAGCTTCTTACCTGCTTCAAAGTCCGCAGTACTCTTGTAGACATGCAACTTTTGCAGGTACTTCTCCACGGATGGACGCCCATGTGTCAGAATCTTCGATCGATCCAGATGAATCTCCAAATCAGAAAGATCTTCTTTGGTATAGAAAAGTTTCACGAAATCGTCACCGGCATCAAGGAATGATCGCAGAATACTATAGCGAGCTTGCATATGGGCTTGCCCCCATTTCTGAGTTTTGGGGTCCCAGAACTCCAAGGCGACCAGGCCTGCACGAGCCATCTGCAGATATGCCGCGAACAAGACATCCCCAGCCTCGTTGGTGAGATCTTTTTGTCCGTTCCCGAACCCAAAAATCTTCAGGATGTGAAAGTCGCAGCTGAGCACCATAGCGACGCACTCGGCGCGGCACTCTTCGTAAGAAGAGGCGATGGCTCCGAAAACTGAGCTCCAGGTCTGACCAGGCTTGTACCATGTGGATACCGGTTTTCCCGTGACTGGACTCACAGGAGGGTTGGAAATATCGAAGTTATACTCCCCTGGGGCGGTCTCCTGGAGAAGTTTGCCAGTTCCGTGCCCGAGAAGTTCATGGATGCCTACCTGGACTTCAAAAGCGGGGTCACGGCATCTGCGATAAACCTCCAAGTCCTTCTCGGCAATAAAGGGAACTGGCTCATTAGGAGCTTTAGCGCTAAGCACATTTCCAAGAGATACGTTCTTGAAACCTAGGTTTTGACGGATATCGTCATAGTTGGGAAGGTTGATGCCAGCAGGTATGCCGGAAGATTGAAAGCTCAAGACTTCCAGCGAGGTGAAGTCTGGGCTGAGAAACTTGTCCTTTTCAAAATCTTTGCCCCATGGAAGCTTGGGAATCATGAGCTCTGCACTATCCACCAGCTTTCCGAAGGCTCGGGTACGCTCTAGGTTAACCTACTCAGGTATTGGATATCAGCAAATGAAGAAGTGACAAAACTTATAATGCTTATGGCATACCAAAGCAACGAAGCCTTCCCATTCTCCTCGCACTCCATGCGGGTCTCGATAAGTCTCTACAAACCCTATATTGGCCTCCAGACTTGGCTTTTGATCCTTCACCCAGATCCGCTGGCTTTCTTTGAATGCTTCAATTGAACCGGCACCAAACGACAAGGCATATGCATCTAACATCCGTTTCTGGTTGTCGTTTGCTGCATTGAGTCCCGCTTGCTTAATCGAATGGGCAATCTTTGCCATTTCCTCTATGTGATCGCCAAAGACCAGGCGCAGCTTCTTTCCAGTCAGATTACCATCCAGGTCCAAAGCGTCGACTTCACCAAGATCCCTGTCCCTTACAGGGGGAGAAGTAACGCCCGAGGCAATTAACAATTCAAAGTCCCCGGATGGCAACTTCTTAAGTCTTGTATTTTCCAGAGGTAACCCGTTTTTCTCCATAAGGTCGCCAATAGCTGTGATCTCATCTTTCGTTACGGATGGAGAATCAGGGTAATAAGTAGTCATATGGCCACCATCTGTATAACCAAGGTGCATAAGCGCCTGCTCTTTTGTCTCATAAATACCACCTCCGGTCCTATTGGCTTTCTCAAATGCTGTTCTTGTTTCTGAGGTGGATGAGGCCAACGCCTGAAAGGCTTCTACAGGCAGTCGAGGAATGAACTTGGAGTCACCAAAACCTTTGTAGTTCCCGCAATTCCCGAGAAACTGGGCGGAATATTCCAAGAAATAACGCAAATGCTCGTCGCTTACATTGGTATTTTTAGCGAGATCAGTCCAGTTTCCATCACAGGCATGGTAGAGTGCGATTATAAGATCGTAGATCGGTTCAGACTCGGGGGAAACCTGGCGCAAAGTAACGCGAGTGCCTTCAAATGCCGCTCTAATATTCCAACAGTAAGCTCGGTTATCAGCGTTGTGTACACCAATGGAATAGATGGCCACGCATGCGACTAGTAAAAATTGTGCAACTGGGGTTCGGAAGAAACTAACCTGCTTATGTAGTGCGCATATCGCCTCAGCTTTGCATCCTTGAGATTGTCAAAGTGGTGTTTGATCTCCAGGCGAACCACCGTAGGAGGTGAGTCAGCCAAATAGTGCTGTTTGACCTTCTCATCCATCATGACTATTTTCTGATGCGTGTGAGTAAGAGATACAGTGCTTGTGGAAAGGTTATTTGTGAAAGAAGAACAAGTACGTGAAGAGTGATGTGAAGGACGGGGACGAGTGAGGGGCAGAAGAAAGGGTCCGGGGGGGCGGTGGAGAAAATGTTCCGAAGGCAAGCGCTTTGAAGCGCCTCGAACAGCGAGCATTCTTGGAGTTGAGCAGTAAAGTACCTAGTATCTCCTTAGTCTTTCTCTGACTAGAGGTAGCATCATGGATACACACAATTCTTGGCAAAAGTGGAGTTTGTTCGACAGCTTATCAGAGTGCAGACCCACTCTCTATCTTTATGGATACCTGTCGGCTATACAGAAGTAGGGAAACATATTAGCTCATGATTAGGCCTTGGCTCCCAAATTATATATGTCGGATAGCACATGACTATGTACATGTAACAACGAGAAAAAAAGAAAAGAAGATATGGGCACATGCCCTGCCATGTTTCTTTCATAGAAGAGACATAAACGTGAGAATATCAAAGGAAGAGAAAGGTAGTTAAAGTAGGAAAGGAGAAAGAAGGAAGTTAACCAACTGAGTTCTATAGTACTATAATATCATTCCGCTCACAATAAACTTTCGTACTTGTCAAGCCCCTGCTTTGCATTGCCTTGTAGTTGTGACACACTGTTATTCGAGAATGCATTGTGGGGAGTATTTATCCCCAAGGGGGATTTGTTTGCAGCTGTCAGACTACCAGAGTTTGGGAAAGTCCCCAACGCGATGTGAGAAGACGGAGGTGGAGGGATAGAAAACGCAGCATAATTAGGGGTTGGTTGTACGCTTGGTCCGGACATGGAGGCACCAGAAACCTTCATGTTAGCTAAAGCCTCCAAGGCTGAACCAGACACAGGATTCTGGCTATTCGGATAGCTCGACGTATTCCAAGTATCAGGTGATGTTGCTTGTAAGGTACGGGAGGCAGGCGTTGGAGAAGATCGTTGCCTAGCAGTAGGCTCCAGCGAAGGAAACGAGTGCAAGTTATAATCAGGTGTAATGGAGCGCATACTGAGACTTGAGGCACCCGACAGGGCATTGCCTCTGCCAGCCGATCCAGCCACATTTGTTGACCAGGAGAATGCTGCGGTTGATTGCTTTTGAGCAGACACCTCCTCCGAGAGCATACTGCTCCAGGGATCAGTATTCTTGGAGCTTGAAGCATCGGGACCCCGCCCAAGAACAAGGCGCTCAAAGTTATCTCTCGTAGAGTCCACATTAGATTGTGTTAAGTTATTGGGCATCTTCGAGGAACTTCCCGCGCCGTTTTGGAATCCACTTGAGTCTGTTCCCGAAGAGAGCTCCTGTAGTTTCTTCCTCTGTTCACGCTCGATCTTCAAAGATATGCTTTTAATAAGGTTCATAAATTCACCAAATTGATGTAAATTGAGAAGTGGCCCTAGGCTGAAGTTCCAAAGGATTGGCAGGACCTCCAGAGCAAGGAACTCGGTATCAGCAACCGTGCCGATCTGTTGAAACACATGCAAGGCCGCCATCATGACAGCCGGCTCCTTCGTTTTGATCGCTTTAAGTGACGGGACGAGTTTTTCCTGTATCGTATACTTGTCTAAAATAGACGACCTGATTGGCTGTGAGTTGCCTTTCTGGACTAACCCAGACAAGTCATCTTCGACCGACTCTCCTTCGTCTAAAGAGCCACCACATAGCGCAGTGAATGCTTCCAGGCATCGTACTTTAATAGCAAGGCTGTTTGTTCGACTAAATGTAGAAGCGATTGGAGGGAATACCTCGTTCTTGACGGTGCTAAAATCAAGTATTGGAAGGATGACAGGCAAGCATTTAATAGCCCCATCTACCAAGGAATGAGTAGGTGAGTCTAGACCTAGCCGGATTAGTGGCAAGATATCCTCCTTTAGCTCCTTTCCAGAGCAGTTGTCTGCCACGATTTTCATGTGTTCAAGAACAACCATGAGGCCCGCATCTTTCTTAGAATCACGTTCATGAACAGCAGCTTTGTCTGTCGGGAACAGCTCCTTGATTCGAGGAATTACCTTCTCTGGAAGTATACGACGTGCATTGGGAATGCGCTGGAGGATCGCAAAGATATTCTGCAAAATGAGGGGTAGGAGTTCACGATCTTTCAGCTCGTCCAACAATATACCCAACACTTTTCTTTCCAACACGGACACTGGAAATTCTGAGATAACCCGCTGCAGCCCGCGCATGAATTGTGATTTCTCATTCTGATTCTTGGCTGGCAAGGACTCCAAGAAACGGATCGTAGATACTAATATGTTATCGAAATATTGTGATTGCTGGAATTCACGGGCATTCAAACGCTGCGCTGGTCGTCTAGTTATTAGCCGGGGTAATACGTGCGTAATGAGCTCCTTCGGAATAGTGCCTGAGCAAAGAAAATTATTGCCTTGTGATGGCGTCGTGGAGGGAGAGCTGAGTAATTTTCTGTATGAGCTGAGATTCGAATGAGCTTGGAGCGGAGAGATGTGCGGGGAGTTATATAGAGCTACGATGATAATCCCAAGGGAGAACAGGTCCGCAGATGTAGTAACATTGGAGTCCAATGCAAAATCGGGTGACGTATAGTCTATATTCAATTGGACGGAGGGAGGGAGGCGAGGGTCCTGGTAAAGGGCTTCCGACAAAGCTAACGGTGGAAGGGAGGACCGAGAGTCTGTGGAGTTGGGTGGGCCGGCAAACCCAAGACCTGATATCTTCCAGTCGGATTTGGCATTGATAAAGATGGCCTCGGGGTTGAGATTGCCGTGGACAAGGCCCGCAGATTCGTGAAGGAACTCGAGGCCCTTGGCAACTTGCAAAAGTCCTTTTTGAATTTCTAGCTCATCAATCTCCAAATCTCTTCGCCTTCGGGTTCCGTCAGGTTCTTCTACCATGTAACGGCTAGACCTCGAGCCCAACCTCGAATTGCTTTCTTGCGCATCTTTCTCTTGCAGGAGTCTGGCAAGAGATGTGGTTATTTGTTCAGTCACAAACATAAGACCACCACCACGGGTTTCCTCCACGGGCTCTAGAACCTGGAGCACAGAGGGATGTCTGAGCCGTGTCAGGCTCCCGGCTTCCCGTTTAAGTCGTTCAACGACACCCTCGTGCAATTTCTTTGCCGAAGAGGAGGAACGACCACCTAGACCGCTCGGGCGTGACTCGAGTGACTTCTTGTCAAAGATGAAAATGGAGGCCGAGGTGCCGGTGGACTTTTTCTTTCCATCATGAACTTTCCAAGGACCAGAGATCACTGCGGGTTGCGGAGAAATTTGATAATTGGCTGATATATTGGAACTGAATGATTTCAGGGCTGATGAAAACATGGTTCTCCCGCCGATAGTGTAAGAGCATAGAACCAAGAAGTATTCTGGGCTGAGTAGCCAAGAGCGATTGTTTTCTTGATACGATGTGGTGATGGAGTGGTAAGAATGCCTCGGCAAGCTGTGGTTCACGCAAGATGCCCTCCAGTGTATTAATCAGATATTGACAGTCCACTTTGGATAACCATTGCACGGAAAGAGAAGGGCGTCGACAAATAGGTAAAGTCAAAGGGAAAACACGTGTTTGGTTCACCTCAGCCCTACACGCTATTCTTAATTATCTATCTCGAAACCCATACCTGATCTGCTGCCATCAGGACGGATATGATCACGTGATAAGCGATGCTGTGGCCAATGAACGGTTGTGGAACGGTTTACAGCTCATGTTGATATCACGTGTCCCACCGCTCTTGAATGGTACGCCGCAAAGGCTATTGCCGGCTATCTGCGAAATTAAACTCCGACCTCGGACGTCAGCCCCGGATTGTCAATCAATCACTTTGGCCTGTTAATCAACAATCTCGCGGTCAACTTCTGGGAAAGGTACATTGACGGCCGCCAACAATTAACAAATTGCTCTTTACATTTCCATCACTGGATTTATATGACGAGATTGCCATTCGAGGTCGTGTGGGGCGCATTTGTTTGGCTTCCGTATCAGTTCGGTTATCGCTGGGTCTTCCGGAGTTGGACCTAGGGCCCGTGGGATAAGACTCATTCATCTGTTAAAGGGAGCCCGTTCCGCCTTTCAAACTCCGCTGCCAGCTTTCCTGCCCGTACTCTTGTCTTTCACCAACATCAATTTCTCCTTAGTTGTGTCACGGTCGATAGACACTCTGCGAAATCATACCCGTGAGTACCGCGGTTCTCAGTTTGCGGCGCGCAGCCATGAACTCGCTGCGTCAATTTACTCGCCGCAAGGCGCTACAGAGCCTGGCTATACCTCCGAACCAGAGCTTCAGCACAATCCGATTATGGCAGAGGCATTTCAGCAGTACTCCAGTCGTTGCTTCCCGGCTAGCTGGCATTGATCCTTCAAAGCTTACAGTTACCAAAACGAGCACCCCTAAAGAATTGACACCTGCTAAGGATCTCGTTTTTGGCAAGACCTTTACTGGTATGCGCAATCCAAAGAATCAGCCACATTTTGTGCCTATAGTAACGTGGACCTCTCTTAGATCATATGCTTGCTATTGAATGGTCAGCATCCAATGGCTGGGATGCCCCTCGTATTGTCCCCTACCAAAACCTTAGCTTGGATCCCTCGGCTTGTGTTTTTCACTATGCCTTTGAATGTTTTGAAGGCATGAAGGCCTATAAAGACAACAATGGTCAAATTCGGTTGTTCCGTCCAGACAAGAACATGGAGCGCTTGAACAAGTCTTCATCGCGAATCGCTCTCCCTACCGTTGACGGTGAGGCTCTGACTCAATTAGTCGGAGAGCTCGTAAAACTAGACAGCAGATTCATCCCTAGGTAAGGTCATCGCTGACTCGCCACGTATTTCAGCTAATAGCAATAGTGCTCGGGGTTACTCACTCTACCTGCGGCCCACAATGATTGGCACGCAAAGTACCCTTGGGGTTGGACCACCGGGTTCTGCCCTTTTGTTCGTCATCGCAAGCCCCGTTGGGCCTTATTACCCCACTGGTTTCAAGGCCATCTCGCTAGAGGCCACTGACTATGCTGTTCGAGCCTGGCCCGGTGGTGTTGGAGATAAAAAGTTAGGTGCTAACTACGCTCCGTGCATTGTTCCTCAACTGAGCGCAGCCTCCCGAGGCTTCCAACAGAACTTGTGGCTTTTCGGTGAGGAAGAATACGTGACTGAGGTCGGAACTATGAACCTCTTTATTGCGTTGAAGAACAAGGAAACAGGGCAGAAGGAACTAGTCACTGCTCCTTTAGATGGAACGATTCTTGAAGGTGTGACCCGTGACTCTGTTTTGGGACTTGCCCGGGAGAGACTAGCACCAAAGGGCTGGACTGTGTCCGAGCGCAAGATTAGAATGTCTGAGGTTGCTGAGGCAGCAGACGAGGGTAGGCTGGTTGAGGTATTCGGATCTGGCACCGCAGCCATCGTAAGCCCTGTACGAAGCATCAGCTACAAAGGCAAGATGGTCGACTGCGGCTTGAAGGAAGATGAGGAAGCTGGCGAGATTGCTTCCCAGATGAAAAACTGGATTGAGGGGATCCAGTACGGTGATGAAGATCATAAGTGGAGGTAAGTCTGCTGTGGGATGCATTCTTTGTGATCTTATACTGATTTTACTAGCTACGTCCTGTAAATGAAGCCTCGGTCGCACAAAATGGGCTACAAGTTGTTTAGAGTGGTTTACATGATTCTTTATGGGTATGGATAGGAGGAACTATTCGCAGTCTTGGGTTATATCACTGCTATAATTTGATTTGGCCATTTTTCAACTAGCATGAGCGCCATCTTACATTATAACTTATCTTCAAACGAAAATGCAGAAACTCTAGCTATCTCGGCTTTGCAAAATATTCTTTCTTCTACCCAGCTGGAGTAAAGTACCCAACGCTCAAGAAGTAAAAGATACCTTGTGAGTCTGGTTGTAGTAACTGGTGAGTATCTTGGGGAAGTCGACAACTGCTGAACCTACCTCCACGAAACTAAGCCTCTAGCAACCCTTGAATGGCCTCTGTAGATGTCCTCAAAAAGGAAGTGATCAACTGTGCAGCTACCACCTTACGCTTGAACCTCAACAAGTCATAGGCTCAGCCGCCATATTATCGCAAATGACGACTTAGCCTATAAGAAGTTAGATCGTTGACCAGTGCCCTGCCATACTACAAGGTACTTTTTCGGTCGGCCTTTTTGGAGCCCTTTTCACAGGGCGCCTGAAGAGCCATGTCACGGACCTTGTCAACCTAAGGCGTGTTCCTACAGGGAAGTAATACGACGATCCCAACGATCAGTTATAATATAAATATAGTAACAGGTAGTATTCCAATGTTGGAATGACAATCCAGTGGGATAGGGATGTATTGTACAGTAGTTTACTTGACCATTTGACAGAGCGATATACACCCAATGTCAATAATTGACGATAGTATAGGCCGGTTCCTATCATCGTTCAAAGATTCGAACCTCAACTTGTCAAAGTACTGGTCCGGAGTATGGATGGCCTGAGGCACGCTGTATCCGTAGCGACCCCAACAGGAGCGAGGCGTGGTTGTACTATGTAGGCCTATAGCGGGCATGCATAAGGGGCCTAAGCCATCTTGTCATGCCTGAGAAGAATCTCCAGTCAGCCACGAGGAGATCCACAATGTACGCTACATGACGTCCAGAACCGTAACGTCGGCAGGATCCGTTCCCGCCCAATTAGTTCCAATAATTCGTCCCCATTCATCCGACACGGGCCAGCAACAGCGGATACGTTGATCAGCACACATCTGAATACTCTATACCAGGTCAAGCCGTCACCAAGGCTGTGCTGCACAGCGGGTTCCGGATACGACGGGAAGGTGCAACACAGGGCATTTAGTCAATTTGGCGGAGAAGGAATCCGGTGGGAAGGCACGGACTGGTAGGGAGGGATGCCGACGAGAGCCGAAAGGCCATTCCATTCATCCATTATCTAAACCTGTCGACGACAAGGCACGGAGATATGCGCTGCCGAATGTCGGGTTTTATTTTAGCTCACCAACAGCCACCGATTGCCAACAGAACAATATAATTTCCTTCATTCCTATGGGATTTGCCGGTTAGACTAATGCAGGTGTAATTCTTTGAGAAATTTACGAAAAGGTGTCATGCTATTAGCGGCAATCGGTGTTTCTCAAACCCACGGAGCTGAAGATTTCTCGTGTCTGGCACCGAATATTATCGTTCTGTGAACCTTTCAGGGTGTATATGTTCTTTGAGAAGTAATGTATATTCCATTTGATAGCTCTAGGTGGTCATAGATCCCAGTAGGCATGCTGTAGTCGATTAGAACGAAATCTGGTATAACTATATTGAAATAATAGTTAGCTGTGACCTTCAGAATTTGACTGGCATGGACATGTTAAACCCAAACGAGCTCCTTGAGCGACGCCTGTTACTTATCACGTCAACTTGGTTAGGACAGCACCAACACAAAGTAGTTCTGTATCGCTTTCTAATTCAATAAAACCCCACAGGCTAATCCTCCCTCCCCTACCTCTTCCGCCCCGGGACAATTGATCCTCTATAATTGCAGAGTGACTCGCACCCTATAATTAGTAGGCATGGGCCGCACGGTATATATGTTATACATTGACCGGAGTTCTGACACTCGGGCCATTCCAAGAGTACTCAGTAATTGTTGAAAATAGTGAATCCCGGCCTTGTATCTTTCGCTTTTTCAGACTTTTTTTTTTTTTTTTTGCGTTTACGCATCGTATAAGGAATGCCATCCTGTGCTGATTCCACCACACCACCTTTAGCGAATGAAGTCAACATAGATTACATCTCGGCGTATAACTTGCCTCGACCTTATAAATTGAAATTGATACAGCAATCTTTTCGATAACCATGTCTCTTTCAACGAATCAAAGGGGAATGTATTAGCGAAATGCGGGCGGAGGTGGCAAGCTAAGTAAGACGCTCCTCTCGATCGAAGAGGATGCATAAATTACTTCGCCGAAGGATCCATACCTGCGTAGACTTGGGGGCGGGGCAGGTACACAGTATACAGTGGAGATTTCCACCGTTCATACTACTTAACTTCGCCCGTCAGATGTCAAGCCTGTCACCACGTGCGGTCACCTATACCCGGGTAAGCAATTGGTGTTCGTAATCTTCTCGGGTGGCACGGATAATCCTTAGGCTTAGTCTGCTACTGTAAGCGGAGCAGTGGTAATAATGACCCTGCGTTAAATTAATAATGTATATACTATAACCAGTGATCAAATTCCAGAGTTAGAGGGGCTATTGAAAAAAAAATGACTGAAGATAAAGTAATCATATAAAACAAGTATTTAATGCGAGGAAATTGCCGATAGGTACTAAATGACAGAATATGTATAATCACTGCTAGTTAGTGCAGATATATATGTGTCACTTAGGTGCAGCCAAAGACCGTATCAACAGATTTCATCATTGCTGGAAGGTTTAACAATTCGTCACCGTGAATATTTGTCTCTTAAGATCCCGATCCTTGGAAATATGTTATGCAGGCTATTAGACTCCATGAAGGCCTATCTGCCGGTAAGAGGTTAGTCAAAGTAATTGACTCATTAGTATTGATCAGCACTGTGATATTCTCCCGATGCACAATAACATACAACTCTGTTTTTTCTATTTTTTACTTTGTCGGGGGCCACGGGTCTAGCCAAGGTGGGGGAATAAGAGAAGACAGAGATGAGGTTACATACGATGGGCGAGGGGTCATGAGGCGGATGAGTATGAATGGATGCTTGAGTATGCAGGCCCAGACCCCACCATCACCAAATCAAGACGAAAGATATCACTCTGCATGACAACCAAACTGGGACCAACCATGTGATTGGTGCGTGACCTCGAGGCATACATCCTGAAACAGATAGTACTTAGCTGGTTTCCTATCCTCGCCAATGAGACATCGTTTCATCAGCCCTACACAAGGGGGGTCCTGACTATGACCTCGTATTACCCTGGAAGGGATAGATTCTTAGAGGAAAACGAAAAAAGGAGAAGAAAAAGTTGAGCCTCATAGTTGTAAATCCTTGAAATACCTCAGACTAGGGTAAAACCAAAAATAGACATTATCATATTGACGCATCCCCACACGCACCCACGGAAGAATTCTCTACCTTGCTTGACGCAACTAATTCCTTTCCAATCATCTTACTCCCAGGGAAAGAAAAAGGCGGTCGGATTGATTTAAGTCCCAGTAACGTATTAATGAGTAGAAACCTAATACAGCAAGAGCACTAGTTTCATGTTATAGGACAGCTCGTCTAGTTTATCGCCCCCAAATATGATGGTATGTGGGGTAATCTGCCTTACAGCTAAGCCTCGCACGGGTTATATTCAAGGTAGAGGTTATTCCTAGCAACAGATGTAGTAAATAAGAGAGAAAAAGAAAAAAGAATAGGGGAAAAAATGAAATACATACACACACATACAAATACACACAGAGAGAGAGAGAAAGAGAGAGAATGAATGATTGGTAATAACATTATTCACTGTGTTCAAGACATGGGCAAAACAATGTTCCGCATTCTTACATATTGTCAGTTACCCATGTCTCTAACACAGCCTTACACAGTTCTTCATGCTTATCAAGAGTCATGTTGTTTTAGAATAAGAGGAGCGATATACAATTAGAGTACCCACGCCGTCCACTAGGGAAGGTGAGATCTTTATCCTTAGTGTGTTGCCAAGATCAAGGGGGTCTGTACAAACGTGGCAGAGACCGAGGCCGTGCACCCTTCCATGTTGGTTCAATCCACTTCAACATTCTTCAGAGTTTGCCTGCTTCTGGTTTCGTGCTGTCGAGGAAGCATGCACGAGGTCAATCGGAAGTTGCCTAAATGCCTTTTCTGGAAACTGGTGCACCCGGGTGTGATTGGTCAGAAGGTATTCTACCCTAAAAACATCACAAGAGTTATCCAACTCCGGAGGGAGATGTAGCCTGTCATGTAAATGAGTGGGTCGTACTAAGGCACTCCGTACATACTACTACTAGGTAACTCTGATTGACAACAAATTTGTCATTGGCTAGAAATGGTGTGTAGTCAACATACAATTATAGTTGTTTCTTTTCTTTTCTTTTCTTTTCTTTCACCTCCTCTCTTCCCTATGTATTTTACTTCCCCGTTCTATTCTTCTTTCTCGTTAAGGTACCCTAATAAAAGAGTATGTACGGAGCAACGCTTGTATACTAACTAAAATAGTGGGATGGGGGCCGGCGGCTAATTTCTTTGACCCGGGAGGGATTTAAAACGGTGGTATTCTGACCGAAGCAACTAGTCACAATGCCCGTAATTAAAGTTGATAGATATCTATCTTGAGAGTATGCCATCCAACTCAAAGTATGGAGCAAACACCAATTCTATGGGGTAGGAGCATATCGAGGTACTCTATCACGATACCGAAAAAGTTTAGATCTGTTTCATATAGATTTATAGTACTAGTATTGGAACTATGAAGTACTGCACTTAACCCCATTTGACAGTTGAACATCGGATGAGGACTAACTACTAGTAGTAGAAGGATAGATGGACTCTGGAAATTCGAGTCCGCCAAAATAGGAACGGATGCAAGTCATCGGATGACTGACATCAAATAAAGACGCTTAAAATTATCTTTTAGTACAACCTGCACCTCTCGGTCTAAGAATAGGTAACCATGGAAGATAATGAGGATGGGAACGAGGTTAGTGATTCATTGTGTAACCATACTTTTTTTGCCAATACAGGCATTACTGGTATAATACATAGAGATGGTCACTAAGTGAAGGTGCGAAGCTAGCCCCTTCCTGGGAAACTGCATCTTTCCCGTTTTCCTTTGGAGAGCACTCCGGGAAGCCACTTCGCTGCCCTAATCCAGGGAAAAAAAATTTGCTATTTGTAAAATACCTTCTAATATAATACATCTATACTGTACATACAAGGGCAACATCCTTGTTGGACCCCAAAGTGCCCCGGGTAACATGCATGGAAGGAAAGTAAATCACCAGGCAATGCATGATTGTGCAACTTCCACTTTCCTTACTGATCTTTGTTGGCTCGCTCGTAAAAGATTCTGGTTAGGAAGGACATACGGCTTTGGAAAACTGTCCGTTGTTACACTTGTTTCGAGGCTTTTTACTTTACTTTTCCTTTTTCCCTTTTTTCTAAACCTGCTGCAAAGGCGAGGAATTCAGCGTGTCATTGAGCTGCAGCATTGTCTCTTTTTTAGCACCCCAAACAGAGTACAGCCAAAAGAGGAGGAAGAAGGGTTGGGGGAAAAAGGAATGTGTGAAGATCTACATTCTACATGATGTTGCTATTTATTATCAGGTTCCTTTAGAGTCTAGCATGGAGGTGAATTGCAAGGCTCATTCATCAATACAGTAGGAAAACCGCCCCCTTCTTTAGAGAATGCAGCTTCAACCTTAGCGACATGCTGCTAATGCAATATCTGGAACCACATGGCCGATGATGGTGGACAAAAGTCAAACCCTGGGGGCTGTTGGTTCAGCACAGCCTGATCTTGCTCATTTTCCTTGGTTGTCAATTCCCCTCTCTCGGTCTTTTCGGTCATCGGAGGGTCCGCTTCAACAGCCTCACAACCTGGGATTCCGTCAGCCCGCCAACCATTTTGCGATGCAGCCCTGCACATCCGCGCATCTATTCGGGAAAAGTTCCCTACCAACACATGGTCAAGCCATGCGTACTAATGGCTCCCTGGCCCCAAGCCCCCAGGCATTCACCTGTTGCGAAACACTAATGTTACCGGACCCCCCCAAAAAAAAGAAAAAGAAAAAAAAATTAAATAATTATATTTCTTTTATTTTATTCCAAAAAAAATACTATTCAATTTAATCAAAATTAAACTAAAATTAAATCAACTCATAAAAAAAAAGGAAGAAAATTAAACGAAACACGGGATTATCACTGTTATCGCAACGGCTCAATCGCTGTCATGGGTTGTTTTGGACTCGGAGACCGGGGCTTAGCAAGCAATGAGCTACATGTAGGCTGTTTCTTTAGTGGATTGACCATGGCTCCAACGCTTCTTTAAATACTACGTGATTCCTTTCTCTGTTTTAGGTTCCCATGGTAAATCATCGCTGACGGCTTTGACCACTTGAACCTGAAGCTATATAGTTAATCTTCTCTTCTTTGTTGCTGTACCGCTCTTCCTCAATTTTACTTTGACCTCATTTAGTCTACCAATCGTAGACGGTCGAAGCTCTGTTCTACATACATAAAGTTGGCAGTTTCTCCTGCTATTCTTCCCCACATCCTTTTATCTGCCCAAGATGCACCGATCAAGCAGTCATACCTACCAAACAACCAGCTCAAGAGGCTCGTCGAGTCACGCCAGCAGCAGTGCCTTCAGTCCAAATGCCAATCCAAACGAAGACTGGACCAAGATATCAGATCTTGCCGAGCGGCGGCGTATTCAGAACCGAATTGCACAGCGCAATTATCGTTAGTGTGCCATCCAAAAAAATGATATGGGCATCTATTCTAACTCGGGCATTGTATTAGGTAAAAAGCTCAAGCGCCGCTTAGAGGACCTTGAGAAGAGGGCTGCCTCAGTTTCAGAATCTCCAGAACGGTCCAACGAGAGAACTGAAGCGCTGAAGAGTTCGCATCCGGCCAAGCCTCGTGCTAGGAACTCTCGCACTTCCAAGTCGAACGCGGATGCCACGAGGCGGGCTACAGCGGAGAGGATCCCAGCTTATGATGGTTATGCAGCACAGGATGACCGGGGGGCGATGTTCTCCCATCAATGTACGCGCCAGCTCTCCGCATCACCCCCGCCTGTATACTCTTATCCTTCGTATTCCCATTTGGAACCCTACGGGCAGTCCCCATATGGACAGCCACATCCCTATCATTCAATCCCGAGTACCTATAGTGATATGTATCACGGAGAGTATGGGGCCTCAGTGCCATCTATTCTCCCCGTCACAATGACTACGACAGGCCCAGTCAAGAGGCCGCATGTCTACGCGGACGAAGATATTGTGAGCCCGTTTAGCATGAGTTACGCATCCATGGCTGGCATCGATTTGTGTCCGAGTTCTCAACATCTTTCGGAGGCCAATATCCCTGTACATACCCCTCCCCGTTCATTCAGCCGATCTGCAAAACATCCCGTATTCAGCAAGACTAATTCCCTTCCTTCAGATGCCGCCGCTGTCGCACGTTTGCAGCGATGATCATTCCTCTCCATCGACACCAGCGGAGCCGCCCAATCTGGCATGCCCTCTTACCCCCGAGTCGGACCCATGCTCTCCCCACTCGTACCCTCTATTTTAATGACGTTATTTGGTTTGCTTTTGACGATGGCTTGTTGTGACGACTGGTATGATAAATTGGGTTGTGTATACCGTGGAGTTTTATTTCATTCATTCGATTATTCTGGGTGGGCATGGGATGCCATCTGTTTTCAAACATCACAAGACATGGCAGGGCGCAGCTTTACAGGCCCTTGGGTTTGGGTGATGTGACAACTTGATCAATACATTGCGGTTGGCGTTCTGGCTATTATGGGAGCTTGATCTTAGGGCATAACACTAGTGACCACGCTACAAACTACTTCCTGTTGTCTTTCATCATTACTGTTGTTATTATTGTGATTTATATTCGCCTACAATTCATGTCTTCTCAGCATTGTCGTGGAATACAGCTTGAACTTTTGTGAGAGCTTTTTTTTTTTTTTGAGGTGAAACCATTGACAATAGGGTCTCGACCAATCGGTGGCTCTTTGGGTGTTGGTTGGCCTTAAGCTATGTATGTACAGCTTGGCCCCCAAACAATTTGCGGGCCTCCTTGGGCTGCTCGCTAGATTTGGGGGCTAGACTGGAGTTCTTGTTGAATTTCAAGTTAATCAGGGTAATATTCTGACTCTTGACCGTTCCTCTTACGATCAATATCGATTTCGTAATGATGTATTTTATTTCTTATGTTTAAACTCACCGTTTCCCAGGATTATTTTCCTATGTTTTTCGCATTTCTTTCGCGGGAGCCTGACGCGTTCCATATCTTCATTTATTTTATTTTTTTTGGGAATCCTCTACCTTCAACCTTGGGTAACTTTTAAACTAGCAATGATACCTACGGAGTAGTGATCGCAAAATATTCCAGATTCGGGTATGGTTGCCTAAGGGTTGTTCCAAAAGGAATCATACCTGGACGATATGCCATAAGTTAATCTGCTCAACTAAGTGATTTGCCGCGGGGACTCGCTGGAAAGGGGATATGGGTATACTTACGCAGGCTGCTCTAGACAAATATTGGCATCTTGGTATTAGCAACCACTATTTACCCTTCAAGGCATAACCCTTGACAGGCCCCATTCCGGCGCCATCCGTCTGGCACGCGGTAAAAGCAAAGGCTCCTTTCAACGCCCGGGCCAGAACAGAACCCCCTGCACTCAACTTGCGGGTATCCTTTATTTTCCATTTTATTAATTTGATTTGATTTGCCCTGTCGGTTTTGGCCCGTGAAATAGATTGATTGCAAGGGTTTTGGTCTTTGGAATCTGAAATAGGCGCTTTCAGTGGGGCTCTGCGCGAGAAACGAACATGCTGCGCCTCCACCACTCCATCATGACGTGGTACGGTGTATGTATGTACACATCCATTGGGGCCGATTTCATGAGTTGAATTAAATTAATTCAATTACCCGGTGGAAATTGTCGAGAAACTAGCTTCAGCCTTGCAAGCTTTACCCTGGACGTTGAATCTCTGACCTCGTGCGACTGCTACATCTGAAAATGGACAATGAGTGGACAATGAAATGTTCTCGCTCTTCACCTTTGATACTTTTGAAGGAAGACTTGTTTTGGGGCTCTTATCCAGTTCTATGGCCCGGGCCATTAGTGGGAAGTGTATATATTGTGTGTATGCACGAGGTGAATGTTCCACCCAGTATGATAAGAAAGATATTGTAGGATCCATCACTTTGAGCCTCTTAAGTGCGTACAACCACCATTCCTCTCGTTCCACGGGACTTAGTCCCGTCCTACTCCCCGTCAAATCTCGGGGAACAGTTCGGGCTCTGCACACCCTGGTGCAGCCTGATCCTTGAGAGACCTCACGGTTGCAGATGTGCTGGAAAGCCAACAACAGCACGCAGCCACATGATGGGGACGGATGAGCAACCGCTACCAATTCCCTGTTCCGGTTATCTTGGAACATCATTGGTGGCCTGAAAATACATTGCATACTTACGATGTATATACCGAGCTCGTACTTTGATTGTTAGTCGGAAGGGAAAATGATTTCTTTTCTTTTCTTTTTTCTTTTTTTTTCCTTTTCTGGTCTACCCCTCCCCGTTTCTCGTTGTCTGTCTATTTGGTCTGGAAGGTATGGCGTCAATTCCACCGTATTAACTTCATTTAGGGTCTGTCATGGTACAGGCCATTCGCCTGAACCGCCACGGAACTTGATCTGATGGTCAGCCTTATGCCATTTTGAAAATCATGGCACAGAGCAATGGATGATCAGCCTCTTGGTTCGAAGGTCCAATTCAAAACACCCGAGCGAGCCAATCAGGGTGTCGAGGGAGCAAACTGAATGCTGACAGCCCGCACGGGTTTTGGGACCGGTGGGTTTACAGTTGATTGGTTAATTCCCCACCTTGACAGATACCCGACCACACAAGTACTAGTACTAGTACTAGTACGGAGTACCTAGTCAAAGTGGTTACTACGACTCAACAACTAGTATGTAGGGGAAAATCGAGACTAGTCTAGACAACTACTAACTCAAAAGAGGGGTACCAAGCGCTGTCTACGACGTTACATGGATTGCAACCGGCAATCGGAAAGCAGGGGAGCCATTATTAATTTCGAACACTTGTACCATCGAATTTCATGCGCGACAATCTATGAAGTGGTGGTGATACTTGACTCGATAGTCAACTCGTATCCGGCTAAGCCGTCGCCTTGTCCTTGCGTTAGTGTAGAATCGAAAACTCTCGATTCCGACCTTGGATTCGTCAAGGAAGGTGACGCAAGGCGGCTCAAAGGAGGCCAATTAATTCGTCTATTGGGTCCATGTTACCGGCGAAACCCGAGTAACATATTTTTCGGGAATCGATCGAATATTCCAAATGCATTAATTATTTGGTGAGAGATTTTTTAAGCCGATTGTCCGACATGAATACGAAAGACACGAAGAATCCCTGTTGTTGAGAGACACATTGGGGTCTTAACAATTTGGGTAATTCTCAACGAGAGAGAAATGGACGGCGGAGTGATGAATGACGATGACAGTGCATGCCTTAGCGTGCATCATTAGTATGCGCGTGGCTATTGATGAAGATTACGGGATGTATTCTAGACCTTATCTCTCTATCCTTGCTTATCCGCTAAAGTTCATACAGAGTATGTATGTATGTACATACCTCCATACCTCCAACCGCTTTATATCGATCGTTTACCGATAGAGAGAGGCTTTGAAGAGAGGGGAAATGATAACAATAACAACAACAACAACAACAACAACAACAACAACAACAACAACAATAATAATAATTAAATTTACCAAAGAAATCTCAAATTACACTTTCCGAATGAACCATCCCCCAAGAACCGAACATCATCGATCAACTTGTATCAATCTGTAGTCTATCACCAGTTTCACACCCCCTTGGGCAATCAATCCCTTGAGCCAAGCCTTTTATGATCGACTCTCGATTCGGACAAACCCCGAGCTCTTCAGCTTACTCTCGGGGAGTGTCACCAACAAAATACAAGCAGATGAACGATCCGAGAATCCCAAGGACTCGTTTGCATTGCCCAAAGTGAAATAGCGGCTGGCGATATTCCTTCATTGCCTCCAGCTGCGCGCGAGAGACACTGAATTAGGATTGGTGGGGAAATGAGACTACAATTTACGCCTGTATGGAGAAATTTTGCACCAGTACGTTCCCATTAGTTACCCTGCAGTGCTTATGGCCCATATCTAGGGGTACTGACTGTCGATGTAGTACAAACATCTGTCTGGGTCTTGCGAAATTCGAGAGCATCCTGATGATAATATCAAGTCTCCGCGAGCTACCGATGCTGTTCATTTGAACCCAATCCACTTGAACAAATGAAAGCTTGGCCAGGCCGTGGTTCAAAGAAGACTAAACGTTATCCACCGTTCCTCTAGCTTGGAATAATGTCGCGCATGAATCATACTGACTTTCTGTTTACGGACTAACCAAATGTTCCTTGACTCAGGCGAGGCACCTCTTACTGCTTGATAAGCTATCACGTCCACAATTCTACTCTAAGTCTTAATGTGGGTCCTACTTCTGACACCGGTAGCAATTTCTAAACGTATGCTAAAAGCCTACGGAGTACGAAATACAGAACAGACCGTTCCATACAGCGAAATGGCACTGTTTCAAGCAACCCCAGCGCTTCAATTGAGATTTTAGAAGTATATCTCGTGCTCGGTTCTATCAACACGGCTCATATCAACGAATTCAAGCTGTACCTTGCTAAATCTATGCATGCCTGTCCAAAGCAACACCCGTATGCTCACCTCACACCTCACAGGGAAGAGCAAGTATTAACATCTCCTATGGCATTTATCACGGAACCGAATATCGTATACCATCGCTGAGCGCCCCAACCAACTATCCAATCCTCCCTGATGCCCCAGACTAAGCTACAGTGCTACGCAGCTTGGCTACCTGGCCTCGTTCATGTTCAAAGCAGACCAGAATTATGGAATAAATATGCCTCCTTTCTGCGCCATAATAAACAAGAATTTCCCGCACAAATGTACCTATTATGTTGATACAAAGATAAGCGCAAGTGGATGCAGAGTTGTCAACCAGCTGTGGAATATCCGCAGCGCCCTTTCGCGAGAATACGCAAAACTTTATCCGCGCATGTCTCGCGAACGTACCTCCAAAATAATTTTGTTGTTGATGCATACACAAGTCTCGCCTAGGAATGATGTTATTTCTGTCTTTTCAATCGCCCAGACAGGCACCTTCCAACCTTACCAATGCCCCCGGCCTAAGAAACAACCAATGATTGAGAACTCGTAACTGTGACGTTATGGCCGGACTAATTTTACTGCGTTTATTGTTGACGCCGCCAGCATACAGTATACAGAATAGAAAAGCACTCAAAGCTAATACTCTCCGACTCTACCTTTCTCACCCCGTGAAGAGACTAATATCGAACTTCGTTCTCTAGATAGAACACGAC